GGGAAGGGGCAGCACCCCTCTCCCTCACACCCTTGATCCCGGGAAAATCCCCCCACCCTGCCCAGGGTGTTGCCAATCACGAAAGTCTCTAGACGTCACCATACCCCCAGCTGAAAGTCACTGATACACACCAAGTGGGAAAAATAAAGGGCAGATTTTCTGGCCAAATGACTCAGCTGAGAACTTTCAGTAAATCCTGCATTCGCCGAGTATTCTGGGTTACACAGGGTTTCCCAGGTGGCTCAAATGGTAAAGAACACACCTGCCAATGTGTGAAGAGATGCAGGTTTGATCCCTGGGTCAGGAAGATCCCCTGGAGGAGGGCACAGCAACCCATGCCGGTATTCTTGCCTGGAGAATCCCATGGACAGAGAAGCCTAGAGGGCTACAGTCCGCAGGGTTGCAGAGAATCAGACATGACTGAAGCAACTCAGCACGCATGCACGCTGGGCTTCAGGACTGCAGACAAGAGACTGCGAGTCTGCAGTGGGACTGGCACCGGCTGGACACAGGCGGTCCATGCGAGTGGCCATTCTCCTCCCTCTGGGTGGCCCGCATCACCTTCCTGCTCCCAGCAAAATGAGTCCAGAAACGCTGGCACATGCTCTTCCTCAGCTGCTACTGGGCATCAGGGACTCGGGAACAATCCCGACTTGTCAGGCTTTGGCTGGGGAACAGAATCCTCAGCAGGACCATTCTCTCTCACAAGAACAGCAAGGGCTTTGTGAGCCCAGAAGGCTCCAGGGGCACTGGCTGCAGGCATGGGGTGCAGGCAGGAGACTGTCCAGGAATGGACAATGGCCCTGGGGTATGGCTGAGGCCAGGGACCCAGCGCCAGCCTCCCAGTGCCTTCAGAAGCCCTGCTGGCTCCCCATTCACCTTTCCATTCTCTCACTAAAAACACCGCAGCCTCAGGTATTCCCTGGGTGTCCAGCGGTTAAGAATCTACCCGCCAATGCAGGGAACATGGGTTCAATCCCTGGTCCGGGAAGATTCCCACATGTGGCTGGGCAGCTAAGCCCAAGCACCATAACAACGGCGCCCTTGAACTCCAACTACTGAAGCCCAGGTGCCCTAGAGCCCTTGCTCTGCAACAAGGGAAGCCACCGCAATGAGAAGCCCACACAACACAACTAGAGAGAACCCTCGCTATCTGCAACTAGAGAAAGCCCATGCATAGTAACAAAGACTCACTGCCACCAAAAGTAAATAAACAACAATAATAAAAATTTATAAAAAAGACTATAGCTCTCAATACAGGGCAGCATTTAACCCAATTTAGGGCCACTCACCCTTCCAGGAAGACTTAATTATAAAGCCCTGAATGAAAATCCTTGGAGTGCCCAGCACTTACAGGCCTGAGCTGTATGCTGTAGCCATACTGGCTTATTTCAGGGGTCAGGAAACATCTTCTGAAAAGAAGGGCCAGGGTGAGGACGTTCAGCTTCCCAGGCCCCAGGTAACATGTGTGTGATCCAGTGGGCTCTATCCCACAAAACCTCATTCACAAAAACAGGCTGCAGGGACTTCCCTGTGGTCCAGCGGCTAAGCCTTCATGTTCCCAATGCAGGGGGGTCCTGGTTCAATCCCTGGTCAGGGAACTAGATCCCTCCCCCTCCCCCCCAAAAAGAGGCTGCAGTGGCACTTGGACCCCTGGTCACCATTTGTTTAATCAAACTCCCACTGTACAGCATGAAAAACTGAGGCCCAGAGGGATGGGAGCAACCTCCAAGGTCATCCAGGGAAGATGCACATCAGTGGTTTTGAACCTGGAACCTGATTCCTAGAGCTCCAAATTCCAAAATACCCTTTCCTCACCCCACAAAAGTGGACACCCACACCAAATCTTGCAAGTGATTTCTTGGGGGTTCACACCCTTCACCTCCTCTGGAGACCACGGGTGAAGAACCACTAGTCTGACGTAGGACATACTTTAGCACTATGGACATTGAGGGCCAGACTGTTCTCCGCGGGGCCATCCTGGGCACTGTCGGATGTGGAGCAGCATCCCTGGTCACCACCCCCTTGATACCAGGAGCGCCCCTGGTTGTGACAGTCTTAGATGTCCCCAGACATGGCCCCGTGTTCCCTGAGAGGACAGAATGCCTGGCCTAGAGAGAGAAAAAGCAGACAAAACAAATAACCAGAGAGAGAAACAAACAAAAAAAAAAAAGGGAAACGTTGCTGGGTGGAGATGCAGAGTGCTCACGCATTTCCTGGCATCTGATAATAAAACCAGCTGTCCTCTAGGAAGCTCTAGACAAGTAACAAGAACCTAATGAAAGAGGGTTCCACGTGTACTTAACCTCACAATGACAGTAAGAGACATATACCCCTATATATGATATATAGCCCCTATTCGTGGCAGGAAAGGGTCGTGGAAGGGGCAAGCAACTTGCCCAAGCTCCCACAGCCAGCAGAGGTGGACGAGCCGGTCCTCAGTGCCAGATTTCGACCCCCGTCTCCGGCACAACAGGCAGAGGTCGTCCTCGTGAAATCGGACTAACCGCTGCTGATCCTTTGGAGCTGTCACTTTGCGCTGGGGGCCCTGCGGCTTTAGTCTTCTCGGGAAGTCCTCCTACTCCATGCAGGGACTGTGACGACGCCCGTTATACGGAGGGGGAAACAGGCTCCGAGAAGCCAAGAGGCTGGTCAAGGTCACCCAGATGGACAGTGGAGACTCCGGGACAGGGAGCCCCGACTTGAACCCCAAGGACCGGGGCCCCGATTCAAAAAGACCGTGTTTCCGGGACACAGTGGACACCCAGCGAGTGCTCACTGCGTGCGGGGCGCTATGCCTCCCGCTATCCACTCCCGGGCCTCCTAATCCTCATTTCATAGGCCTGGAGTCCGGGGGAAGGAAACCTGGGCAGCCGAGGGCTTGCCCGACGCGGTCTGGCCTCAGTTTCCCCTCCGCGCCGCCCACTCACAGCACTCCGCAAATCATGGCGACCCCGGCCTCGGACCAACGTCTTCCTACGGGCACAGGAGCCCCAGAAGCCTCAGATGCCCCGAACTGCGGACCTCAGGCCCATTCGGACCAGCGCCGAGACCCCCGCGACTCACCTCTCAGGCAGCCGAACCCGGGACCCACGGACGGCCGCGCCTGCGCACCACGGCGCTGCCCGGGCCCGCCCCCCAACTGCGACGCCTGCGCAGAATGAAAGCCTGAAGGCGCTGGCTCCTTCTGCGCAGGCGCACCAATTATAGAGGCTGGCGTAGGGGGAAGTGACGCACTTTAGAGGCTGGGACAAGCTGGTCGTTAGGGCAACTAACCACTGCGAGCGAATGGAAGCCGGAAATCAGAACTGACTTGTCCTCTACAACGGGAATGGAGTGGTGCATCATGGAACGGTGGAGGACTTTTGTGGGTTGGCAGAGTCGTCACGTGGTGTCGAGTCGGCCACGTGGTGCAGCTGCGTTTAGGTATCTGGCGCCCGGAGTATCACAGGCGCTCTTTTGAGTGCGAGAAACTGTTATTTATTTTTTCACCCATCCATCCTCCTACAAGTGCATTATTTTATTCATTCAGTCCATCAGAGTAAAATATAATAATTCACAGATTTTTGTTCATAGCAGGTGCCTAGTAGTGAACGAATATGCATGCCAACTATAAAGGGAAATATTTGCTTTCATTACCTTGTATTGCGGTACACTATAAACTAGTAAACTAGTATATAAATGAACAGATTTTACTGAATGGCAAGCACTATGAAGAAAACGCGGTGTGTTGTGATTGGGGGGTAAATTGGCTGGGATGGTTAAGGAGGGTGTCTCTTCCACAGGTAAATTTGAAGAACAGGAGAAAAGCACTCCAGCTATAGGAAACAGCGAAAATGAAGACTAACGTAGAATTAAACTTGACGTTCTCAAGAGAGGAAAAAAATCGAGGGTGGGTAATGGGAAATTCCCTACTAAATGACCGTTATTAGGGTTAAATTTGCTAGAAATCTTATCCCAATTCATTTTTTATCATACTTAAAACTCATGCACTTAACACCTCAGGGTATTTTCATTTCTTTTGCAGAAATGAACGATAAATAAAGGAGGTGGGTTCGGGGGCATATTTAATTCTCGTTTCTTTCTGGGTGACTCAGGTGGTTCAAGGTTGATATTGGGCGGGGGGCGGGGGGCGCGGGGTGCGCACTGCGCTTCGTTTCCTATGCATACGTGCATGCTCAGTCGTGTCCGACTCTTTGGGGCCCTACCGAGAAGGAATCAAGCCTGTGTCCCTTTCAGTGAAAGTTCAGTTCAGTTCAGTTCAGTCGCTCGGTCGTTTCCGACTCTTTGCAACCCCATGAACCGCATCACGCTAGGCCTCCCTGTCCATCGCCAACGTGAACGAGTAGAGTCCTAACCTCTGGACCGCCTCAAGATTCTGTTTTAACCAATGACCCCTAGGTCAGGCAACTGCACTGTTTCAAAACACCTGTTGTTTAAAGTCCTGGATCCGTTTTCTGAAGCTTTCTCAACAACACTTACTTGCTTACAGACAGTTTTGTTTTTTAAGTAAATGTGTGTTTAATTTTATTGACCAACTGGTTTCAGCTAATGTATGTGGCGCACCTTCTTTATTCATTAGATACTTGAAACTGGGCAGGATACCGGGAATGGGATAAGCGCCTGAGACATGGTAAGCGATCACGGATGACCTTACTTAAGGGAGAAAGGTTGTAAAGCTAGACAAATACACAACAAATGTAGAAAAGAGGCTAATATAAATTAATACAGGCGCTGGAAGCCCAAGCCAACTACTGCCTGAAAGAGCCCAGCGAAAAAGCTAGGAGGCGCCAGCTGTGCGGGTATCCACGGAAACGCCTCTCCCTCGCCTCCGCTAAAGCTCCACCCTCTCACCACCGAGAGCAAATGACGAACGGGGGTGGCTCCGGCGCAGGCGCAGAGTGAGTCAGTCGTCTGGCGCACCGCCAAGGGTTTTGGGCGGAGCTAGGGTGCGCAAGCGCCCTGCCCTCCAGCGCACGCGTCTCCCAGCATTCTGTGAGCGCGCGGGCGGCGGGCGCCTCGGTCTGGAGATTTGCGATCTCTGAGTGGACGGAGTCTGCCGGCCGCTGCGCCTACACGGACCAGGTGGAGGCAGGGGCCGCCGGTGCACACCCGCCAGCTATGAAGCCTCCTGCAGGTACAGGCCGTCTCTTGGCGTGGCTCTTCTTGTCGGACCCGGGAGCCCCGTGCCTCTTCCCCGGGGTCGCCCCTGGGGCCTTAGAACGGAGCCAGTGACCCTCGAGTTACCTGGGCCCAGGCTGGGGATGGGGGTCGGCGAGTCTGGAACCCCGCCCCCTCGGTTGCCGAATGAATGATCCAGGTTTTTCGGCGCTTCACTCATTCGGCAAACTCCATTACTTCTGAGGATTGGTCTGCCCTGAGGTGGACTCCAATGGAGTTCTAGACTTAGTTCCACAGCCGGACGTTCGACAGGCAAAAAGCAAGCGGGGGCTTTAGACAGTGATCGGTGCCAGGGCTGGTGGTGCTTCTTTAGGGAGGGCGGTCCTGGAGGGCTTCTCGGAGGAGGTGGCATTTCATTCAGCCTGGACTTGGCGGGGAGAAGCAGCTGTCCCAGGTGGTGGGAACCGCGAGGGAGGCAAGCACACCATTGAGACGTTTGGGGAGCAACAAGTCATTTTGGCTAGGGCACAGCTGCAGGTCCCTTTTATGTGAAGCGCAATGGGGCACCACAGAAGGGTTTTCCTTTAGGGGAGCAATGTCACCTGCATCGGAGAAGGCAATGGCACCCCACTCCAGTACTCTTGCCTGGAAAATCCCATGGATGGAGGAGCCTGGTAGGCTGCAATCCATGGGGTCACTAAGAGTCGGACACGACTAAGCGACCTCACTTTCACTTTTACTCATTGGAGAAGGAAATGGCAACCCACTCCAGTGTTCTTGCCTGGAGAATCCCAGAGACGGGGGAGCCTGGTGGGCTGACGTCTATGGGGTCACACACAGTCGAACACTACTGAAGTGACTTAGCAACAGTCACCTGCATACCAACCGTGTTTTAGGAAGTCGCCCAGGATGTTGAGTAGGGCCTCCTCAAATTTTGTCTTGCCCAACCTATCCTCCCCCAGTTCTCTCTGCAGCCTATTACAATGATGATGATAATTGTATTAATGATGATAATCATAATTATGTTTATTCAGGCTTTCTTTGGTTCAGGATTGTTAGATCAGAGACCTGGCACATAGGTGACAGTGAATGTTTACAAACATGCCTGCTCAAAGTTTTCAAACCCTAGCTCCACCAAAAGATTTTCTTGACAATTGCAGTTCACTCAGGTCTCCCACCTTTCCTGAGCTCCTGGAGCCCTCCTTTACTGCCAACTCAAATGCAGACTCACAGTCCCTCTTCTGCAGTTCTTGAAATCCAAATTATCCTGCAAAGATTTTCCCTAAGTTTGAAGCAGCCATTTGGCTGGAAAAATCTAACCTCTATTGATTTAAGGGACTTTTTCTTTTCTCAGCTGGGGTGATTATGTCTTCCTGTGGGGGTCATGTCTGGGGATATCTATGGTCATCATGACTGGGGGTACTCCTGGCATTGAGTGGATGGGGACCAGGGGTGCTGCTCAGCATTCCACAGTGCCCAGGATGGCCCCACACAGAGAATGATCCAGCCACAAGTGTTGATAATACTGTAAAAAAAAAAAAAAAAAAAAATGCTACCCAGAGACACCAAACACAGGCCTGAGCCAGCAGCTTCCTGCAAAGACACCCCCACCCTAATGTTTTGAAAATCAGGGCGTTCAGGACCATGTGGCCTTGCACCACTCCTGCCTGCCAGAAGTAGGGAATGAAGCACTGGTAGACGTTTCCTAGAGCAGCCCCTTCTGCTTGCTTGTTAGGTGCCCTTCACCCAGCTGGAGGGAAAGCACAGGCTTTATTCATTAACTCAAGTAACTTGAGACAGGTATAGGCCAACCTACAGATGCTATAGGAACGCCATCATGGGCCTCTCTGAGAAAGGGATGTGAAAAGGAACACTGATATGGTATGGCTCTGGGCAGAGGGGACAACTGTAGGAAGGCTCAGGAAACCTCGAAGAAAGCCTGTGTGGCCGGGAACAGAGAAATTGACCAAACTAGCTGGTCAGACCTGCTGTGCTGGACCCAGTAGAGTCTGGACCAAGTAGAGCAGGGGTCAGTGAACCTGTCTGTGTAGGGCCAAGTGTTTTAGACTTGGCAGGCAGGCCACACAACTTCTTGGTCACAGCAAAATCACCTTTAGCTCAGGGGCTAGACAGAAACAGTTGGGACAGTGTTTGGCAACCGCAGGTGTAGACTCTGATAAAGGGTTTGAACTTTAGTCCTGAGTGGAGCCCTGAAAAGAGGACAGGACCCAACCACAGGGTGTGCAGATTTCCAAAGATGGGGTGAGCGCCATCTGCTAGTTCACGGCATGGGAGCAGATGTTGGCTGCTCGACTTTGAACCATCCGTATTGCTTGCTGGCTATGGAATCAGGTGATCAAAGGGTTCCCATCTGTGACATGGGCAACCTAGGGTGCAGAGGACAGAACTATCTTGGAACCCAGTGAGGGCAAGTACACCACAGAACACCGCCCAAAGATTTTTTAACTGACAGCTGTCGGTAGAGACCAGACTGTCATCCAGAAAACTCTTGGTGGAGGGGGAGGGCTGGGGGCTGGGGAAGTCTTAATTGTCAGGGCTTCCCCCTCTTTTAGAAAAGTAACACAGTATACACGTCATGTGTCACATTCAGGGAACTCGGGGTTCACCCTGCAGGCCAGTGTTCTTTCAGTGAAATGCAGGTGTATGCTCAGCACTGATGACTTTGGGGGTCCTGCGGGGACTGTCTGGGCACTTTGGGATGTTGAGCAGCATGCCTGACCCCAGTGATACAGTGGTATCACTCTCTGATTGTGACAACCACAGTGTTCCCTGGGGGGCAGGATCCCCTTATGCTTGAGGACAGATCATGCCACGCATCCACACACAGCCCTAGGGTCTCCCCCCACCCTGTTACTCTGACCCCGATTGCGGGCTTGACACAGACCTGCCGGGTATGGGGTCTGTTTCCTGGGTCCAGCCTGCACAGGGGATGCCCTGGATGTGGCGGCACCGTGCTCTGCTGTGAACCACCTCCGGTGGGACCTGAGTGCCCAGCAGATCGCCGAGCTCACCACCGAACTCATCGAGCAGACCAAGCGTGTGTATGACCGCGTGGGCGCCCAGGAGCCCCAGGATGTGTCCTATGAAAACACGCTCAAGGCGCTGGCTGACGTGGAGGTGTCCTACACAGGTGAGCCATGCCCAGACCTGGCAACGCCACCTCCTTCCCAGGGATGCAGTGGAGAGAGGTGCTGGCTGGGAAGGACCCCTGGTGGGCCCTGGTCAGCGGGAGGCAGCCAGGCCTGGCTGGCTTGCACTATCCCCCGGGGCTGCATCATCTGAGGGCCCAGAATGGGTGTCATCAGACCAGCTTACCTGCCAGCCTTGAAACTGGAGCCCCAGGGGTTGTTTCCTCCGAGTGGCTGAACTTGGTCCCCTTTGGTTTTCTGCTCCCTGCTACCTCCTTGTCCTCTGGGTAACCTGATGCCCTGGGGCGCCCTTCTCGTCACTCTGGAGTTTCTCCCCTTCTGTCATCCATGGGGTCTGTCCTACAGCTTTGTGCGGTCAGACAGGTCCTCAGTCCGCCTCCCAAGCCCCGTCTGCAGAGGCTGACGAGGCGGAGAACGCTGAGCCAGGGAAACCCCTGTCTCGGCATCTCTGGGAAAGCTATTTCTCTGAGAACCATCTAGAATCCCTGAACTCCGGCTGCAGGATCCTCACGTGTCCCTGATGCTGCATGGTTCTGGGTGTGCTGGGCCCGGCTGCCTGCTCAGACTTCAGAGGGGCCACTCCATGGGGGCCAGGGTGCCATGGGCTCAGAGGTGGGGGCCATGCTGCAGGCAGTGGATCAAGAGCCCATAGGCCAGTTTTGCCCCCCAGTCACCTGCTGGGGTGGGACAGACCTCAGTCTCCCCTCTCATCTCCGGCAGGAGGTTCTGGAGGCTGGTTGGTGCAAATTCCCACCTGGGGCATGACCCTGCCAGACAAGATCTAGTCTCTCCACCCCCACTCCTGTGGCCTTTCCATTTCCCCTCAGTAGACCAAATTATATTATTTTTTTACTTTTTTTTTGTTTTTTTGGGTATGCCATGTGGGATGTGGGATCTAGTTCCCAGACCAGGGATTGAACCTGTGCCCCCTGCACTGGGAGTTTGGAGTCTTAGCCACTGGACCATCTGGGAAGCCCCTTACCCTGCCTTGCTGGGTGTTGGGCTGTCTGAGTGCAGGCTGAGCCCAGCCTGGTGCCCCTTCCCGTGCCCCCTCGGCCCAACCCGCCGCCTAAACTAATCCCACACTCTGCTGTTCTGTTGTCATGCTCAGAGCCGTCACATGCACAGAGGCCGCCTCTGTCCTTTTCATGGCTCACTATCGGGCAGCTGGTGTCAGGGCCCCCTCAGACCCTGCCGTGTTTGGTCCAGTCAGCTAAGCAGGTCACCGCCTCTGGAGGGTCCACTGTGCAGCTGACCCACCAGCCCTGGGACGTTCTCAGTGGCCTGGGGCCATGGAAGCCACCAAACCATGATGGTCCTTCAAGCCCCTCGCCCTCCCCCCCACCCCCCCTCAAAGTACACACTTTTGAAAAAACTGCTCTGTTGAAGGGGGCTTCCCTGATGGTCTGATGATTAGGACTCCACGCTTCCACTGCTGGGGGTGCAGGTTCAATCCCTAGTTGGGCAGCTGAGTTCCTGTATACCACTCAGTGGTATAAAAGAACTGCTGAGATACATTTCATATACCATGTAATCTGCCCACATTAATCCTAGATTTCATTGGTTTTTAGTGTATTTAGCATATACAGCCATCACCAGTATCTAAATTCTAGAACCTTCCATTACCCCAAAGAGGTTCCCCATCTCCATTAGCAGTCACTTCCTGACAGTGTGAACCCACTCTCTGTGTCTGTGGACCTGCCTGTTCTGCATGTTTCCCATCAGTGGAATCACACCGTGTGTGTCCTTCCGTGTCTGCCTCTCTTACTGAGCATATTGTTCTCAGGGTCTGTTCATGTGGTAGCGAGTGTCAGGGCTTCTCTTATTTCTTGGCTGAGTGATGCTCCCGTGTGCAGAGGCACATGTGTGTCCAGTCGTCTGCTGACAGATATCTGGGTTGTGTCCACTGTTGGTCACTGCAGATCACACTGCTCTGATGATGTGTGACCGTTTTTTGGGTGGACAGTGTTCTGCTCCTCTCGGGTGTCCACCTGAGAGTGGGGCTGTGGGTCACATGGTGACACAGCAGAAGTGTATGTTCTCACAGTCGCCACATGCCCACTATCTCATGCACATGGTGCGCCATGAAGTATAAAATTGTTGGTACCCTGCAGCATGGCCATGGGCCGCCAAGGCGCCTTTCTGGCGCTGAGTCCCTTCAGCCTCTCCTGGTCTCATCCTGCTCCCTGTTTCCGTCCTTCTCGGCTTGAGGTGTCCAGAGCTGAGTCCCGTCCCATCTGGACCACGAGTCCCTGAGGACAGGGTTAACCATGCTCGTCTCTCACCCAGGGCTGCACCTGCCTGTTTCCCTGCGGGGCCATTCTCTCACCTGTACTGTCTCCCCATTTCAGTTCAGAGGAACATCCTTGACTTCCCCCAGCACGTCTCTCCCTCCAAGGACATCCGCACAGCCAGCACGGAGGCGGACAAGAAGCTGTCGGAGTTCGATGTGGAAATGAGCATGAGGCAGGATGTGTACCAGAGGATTGTCTGGCTGCAGGTGAGTGAGGGCCGGGCCAGAGTGTGGACCTCCCAGATGGAGAGGTCCCGCTCCCAGGCTTCATGAGGTGGACAGAGCCCTGCAGGGGGCAGTGGGACCGTTTTTCCACAACAGACAGTGTTAGAGACAGGAGGGAGGAGAGGTGTGCAGTGCCTTCCCATGTGCACATGTCATCTCACATCCCTGACCTTGCTGGGGTCACCTCAAGGGGACATCCCATCTCCCTCGTGCGGTGAAGGGACCAGTGACAGGGGTGTGCATTTCCTGCCTCCCTGGTGGTGCCCACTGAGCACTGCTGCCACCGTCAGGGGACTGCATATGCTCCTCGCATGGCTGGTGGGTGGTTCTTAGAACCTGCCAGACATGTCCGCGTCAGAACCAGGAAGACCCTGGGGTACTTTGTGCAGACTCAGGGACTGGGGCCTCAGAAAGCACAGGCAGTGTTTAACTGAAGTGTTTATTGAGACCATTATAGGCTCACATCTTGTTGTTAGAAACGATTCAGAGAGGTCCCAGTTGAGCTTTGTCCGGTTGTCCCCGAAGTCACGTTTTGTGACAGGTCAGTGTCACAGCAGGGTCCTGACATTGACAGAGCTGCTCCATCCATTGCCCTGGGGAGGCCCCTGGCAGCTTTGGTTTGGGACTGTCCTCAGTCACGCAAGGTCCTATGTGGACTTGAATCTGGTTCCCTGGGTCAGTGCTCGGGCCTGCAGTGCTGAGTCCTGCGATAGCTGCTTTGTTAGGAAGTTTCGCTTTTCAGGGAACCTGCAAACTCCCTTCCAGCGTGACTGCACCATTCTACATTCCTTTCAATGATGACATCCTGCTTCCCCACGGCCTCGCAAGCATTTGGCACCATCTCTATGGTTTTCTTGTTCCAGGAGAAGGTCCAGAAGGACTCGCTGAGACCAGAGGCATCAAGGTACCTGGAGCGACTAATCAAACTGGGCCGGAGGAACGGGCTGCACCTGCCAGAGGAGACACAGGAAGTGAGAGCCTAGCCTGTGATGACCCTCACCCCCATGCCCGAGGCCCAGGACCAGCCCCCACCCTGGCCCAGGGCCCAGGGGAGCCAGCTCTTTCCTCAGCACCCCTCCTCCTTGTTCCTGAACCCAGGCTGGTCAGTTTCTGTTTTTGAAAACCAGATGGACTCTGAATGAAGAGTTTAGATCCCTTAAGATGGCCAAAGCTTAGATTCCCCAGGGCTCTGAGAGTGGTGGTCTCTATGGGGCACCCCTACTTCCAGGGCCTTCACTGATCACTGGGAAGCACGAACAGGGGGCTGGGGTCTAGGCTTCAGATATCTGAGCTCAGCACAACTCCTGGGGAGCCCCGAATCTAGAACCCCCCACTCTTTCCATTCCCCTGGACTCTCACAACAGTCTTTATCCATCAGAAAATCAAGAGCATCAAGAAGAAGCTGAGTCTCCTGTGCATCGACTTCAACAAGAACCTCAACGAGGATACGACCTTCCTGCCGTTCACACGCGAGGAGCTGGGTGTGTGGGTGCACAGGGTAACGGGCAGGGGAGAGGAGTATTCCCTGGGAGGGCCTCCTCCCCCAGGGGCGCTCCAGGAGTTTGGAGCCCAAGGTCCTGGATCCTTCCTTGGGCAGTGCTGGGGTCTGTCTGCTGAGGTTCTGCCCGGCCCTGCTCTATGAGGTGTGATCCTTTAACTCATGGTGTCCTCCCAGTCTGGCTCTGCATGGGGGCTTGAAGGCCTGGGGCCTGGGAGGCTTTCTCAGCTTCTACCTTCTTCCCCAAATGCCTTATTTTGAAAATTTGGTGCCTGTGGGAAAGTGGCGAGAATAGTACCAGGGAGACCCCATGCGCACCCTGGACCTGGCCTCCTTGTGTATGTGCAGCTCCTGCACTGGGGCCTCCAGACCTGTCACCAGGGACCGTGCCTCCTGCGCCCCCAGGTACAGGCCCTTGGGATGGGATCCCCACCCATCCTGATGACTATCTTTACGTTTCTGGCCCCGATCAGCTCAAGTTAAGCCTCACGTTCCTTTCTGATCTCTCCAGACGCCTTCCCTGTTGACAGACTTGCTTCCATTTTACCCATACTGACAATTATGCAGAATCCAGGCAGATGGATAGTGGCCTGTGAGCTCTGCCCGGGGGTCCAACAGTGCTGTCCCATATGCTGTGATACTGCATGGGCCTCTGGTCAGCAGAGACTCGGGGACATGGATGTGCTCTGTCCTGAGCAGGAGCTTCAGGTCCATCACGCTGACCTCTGCCACTCTGACTTTTTGTCCCCACTGCTCTGTCCCAGGCAGCAAGGCCCATGTGACTCCTAAGGTTTTCAGGCCAAAGGGCCATCCCGGGCCTCTGGAATCCACCGTCCTGTGGGGCTGGCTGCTTTTCTGCCCACTGTCCAGCCCAGGGCCCAGCTAGTTCAGCCTGGCCTCCTGGGCAGGAATGTGAAACCCCAGCGCATGGAACAGCCACTCACAGCCCCGGTGACCTGTCTCACGGGGCTGGGATGGCAGCTGGACATGTGTGGCCGCCTGACAGGGTTTCAGTCCCAGCTGAGCAGGAGCCATGCTGGGTCATTTCTCTGGGTTGCGAAAGGCTCTGGGGTGTCATTTTACAGGAACGTAGGTAGTGTGTTGTGTCTCTGTTTTCTCCCCCACCCCAGCCTCTAGAGAGAGTTGTGTATACATGTATAAAACCCTGTCTTCTTTTACTAAGTCCTCATCCCTAGGCTAAACTGACTTCCACCCGGCATCGCCTCTGTAGTGTCGGCTGTTTGCCCCTCATGATCAGTCATTTCTCCCAGGAATCCTGAAGGCTGCAGCTCCTCCCACTGTCACCAGCTCGTGTCCTGGCCCTGTCTTAGTGGGTGTCCTCCCGTGTGTCAGAACTAGCCCCCCACAGCCCTAGCCATGTCCTTGCATCCACGGGCTTCTAGGCCCTGGTCTGTCCACTGGGGGTGTCCTTGCTGTCCTCACTTTCTTAGATGCTCATTGTCCCAGTTTGGCCCCTTCAAATGGACGCGTCCCCGTAGTTCTTGAAGCACCTCCTGTTGGACATGGACTGAGCTGGGCTCGCTGTGTCCTCTCCCTGGCCTGGCTCCAGCAGGGTGGTTGGAACTGAGGTCTGGCTCCCAGGGAGCTATTGCTCCTGGGTCCCTCAGTCGCGTGGAGCTGGGAAGCCCACCTAGCAGGTTCCACCTCCTCCTGCGGCCTCTCACCCAGGAAGGACATGGGAGGAGGCGGCAGTCCACACTGTCCCAGGGTGGTGCCTGTTCTGGGGTGCAGGCTGACCTGGGATGACCGGACAAGCTCCCCCTCCCCCTCCCTGAGGGCATCCTGAGGGAGCAGAGCTCCCTGAGTGCAGATGCCTGCAAAGGGCATGGGGAAGCCCAGCCTGCCATCTCATTCCTCACCTCCCATGCAGCGGGGGCTTCCACCCCTCCCACCTCAGCTGGGTGGCTTGCCAGTCCCCTCAGAGCCCCCAATTTGGCCCCAACAGGAGGGCTCCCTGAAGACTTTATAAATTCACTGGAGAAGACTGAGGATGAGAAACTGAAGGTCACGCTCAAGTACCCACACTACTTTCCCCTCCTGAAGAAATGCCATGTGCCCGAGACCCGGAGGAAAGTGGAGGAGGCCTTCAACTGCCGGTGCAAGGAGGTAAGGAAGCACCTCCACTGCTCAGTGCCCAGCAGGGCCCGATCTCGGTCTGCCCTCTCAGCGTCCCCGGGTCTGGCTCAGCCCCCAAGGGCTGCTGAGCTTGCCAATCCCAGGGCTGGTCTGGATGGGAGGGGTTGGCACTTCCCTCTCCTGGCCATGGACTTGACTGGGGCAGAGTCCTGGGTTAGGGCCTTGGTGCTGTGGAGACGGCACTGCTGGCCACCAGCTCCTGGCCCCTTATCCTTCTGGACGTTCTCTGTCAGCTTCCGGGTGTAGTTAGGGTTCCTGTTGTGAACAGGCGTATTTCTCCTCGTAAATGAACCTGGTCGATGTCACTCTGTGTCTGTCCCACTAGCTGGGGAGGCTGAGTGAAGCCCTCAGGTGCCGGCAGAGCCCTGAGCCCAGGGAGGCCCCATGGATTATAAAGACCATGTGTTATGACAGGACCAAGTGCAGAGAAATCCGGGCACTGGGGGTTGAGGGGGTCGTGGGGGCCATGGCTGCCAGGAACCTGAGAGCCCTCCCGTGGACACCTGGCCTATGGCTCCAGTGCTACCGTCTATCTTTCCGTCTGTGGGCTCTAGGAGAACTGCGCCATTCTCAGGGAACTGGTGAGGCTGCGGGCTCAGAAGTCACGTCTGCTGGGGTTCAGCACACATGCCGACTACGTGCTAGAGATGAACATGGCCAAGACCAGCCAGGTGGTGGCCACTTTCCTAGGTAACCCCACCCCCTTGCCCCAGGTGCCTGGGGGGAGGTGTGAGGGCTAGGGGCCACCTCAACTGTCCTCCCCCTCCCTGAGGGCATCCTGAGGGAGCAGAGCTCCCTGAGTGCAGATGCCTGCAAAGGGCATGGGGAAGCCCAGCCTGCCATCTCATTCCTCACCTCCCATGCAGCGGGGGCTTCCACCCCTCCCACCTCAGCTGGGCGGCTTGCCAGTCCCCTCAGAGCCCCCAATTTGGCCCCAACAGGAGGGCTCCCTGAAGACTTTATAAATTCACTGGAGAAGACCGAGGATGAGAAACTGAAGGTCACGCTCAAGTACCCACACTACTTTCCCCTCCTGAAGAAATGCCATGTGCCCGAGACCCGGAGGAAAGTGGAGGAGGCCTTCAACTGCCGGTGCAAGGAGGTAAGGAAGCACCTCCACTGCTCAGTGCCCAGCAGGGCCCGATCTCGGTCTGCCCTCTCAGCGTCCCCGGGTCTGGCTCAGCCCCCAAGGGCTGCTGAGCTTGCCAATCCCAGGGCTGGTCTGGATGGGAGGGGTTGGCACTTCCCTCTCCTGGCCATGGACTTGACTGGGGCAGAGTCCTGGGTTAGGGCCTTGGTGCTGTGGAGACAGCACTGCTGGCCACCAGCTCCTGGCCCCTTATCCTTCTGGACGTTCTCTGTCAGCTTCCGGGTGTAGTTAGGGTTCCTGTTGTGAACAGGCGTATTTCTCCTCGTAAATGAACCTGGTCGATGTCACTCTGTGTCTGTCCCACTAGCTGGGGAGGCTGAGTGAAGCCCTCAGGTGCCGGCAGAGCCCTGAGCCCAGGGAGGCCCCATGGATTATAAAGACCATGTGTTATGACAGGACCAAGTGCAGAGAAATCCGGGCACTGGGGGTTGAGGGGGTCGTGGGGGCCATGGCTGCCAGGAACCTGAGAGCCCTCCCGTGGACACCTGGCCTATGGCTCCAGTGCTACCGTCTATCTTTCCGTCTGTGGGCTCTAGGAGAACTGCGCCATTCTCAGGGAACTGGTGAGGCTGCGGGCTCAGAAGTCACGTCTGCTGGGGTTCAGCACACATGCCGACTACGTGCTAGAGATGAACATGGCCAAGACCAGCCAGGTGGTGGCCACTTTCCTAGGTAACCCCACCCCCTTGCCCCAGGTGCCTGGGGGGAGGTGTGAGGGCTAGGGGCCACCTCAACTGGACAAGGCGCTGCCTGCGAACCCTGCTCTGTCCACCCTCGGGGGTCATGTGGGGTGAGTGGTGGGGGCTGGAGGCGGCCGAGGGAGGTAGCTGAGCCCCACACACCTCCCATCTCCCACAGATGAGCTGGCGCAGAAGCTGAAGCCACTCGGGGAGCAGGAGCGGGCAGTGATCCTGGAGCTGAAGAGGGTGGAGTGTGAGCAGCGAGGCCTGGCCTTTGACGGGTGCATCAACGCCTGGGACATGCGCTACTACATGAACCAGGTGGAGGAGACACGCTACAGTGTGGACCAGAATCTACTCAAGGAGTACTTCCCCATGCAGGTGGTGACTCGAGGGCTGCTGGGCATCTACCAGGAGCTCCTGGGCCTCAGCTTCCAGCTGGAGGAGGGCGCCGCCGTGTGGCACGAGGATGTGGCGCTGTATGCCGTGCGGGATGCGGCCTCTGGCAAGCTCATCGGCAAGTTCTACCTGGACCTCTATCCCCGGTGTGTGCACAGGGGACCCATCAGCCAGGCTGGGCTGGGTTGGGCACTCATTCCGCCCACCCCCAGCAGCCAAGACTGACCCCACATCCCCCGTCCCCACCCAGGGAAGGCAAGTATGGGCATGCGGCCTGCTTTGGCCTGCAGCCAGGCTGCCTGCGGAAGGATGGGAGCCGCCAGATCGCCATCGCTGCCATGGTGGCCAACTTCACCAAGCCCACACCCGATGCGCCCTCCCTGCTGCAGCACGACGAGGTGGAGACCTACTTCCATGAGTTCGGCCACGTGATGCACCAGCTCTGCTCCCAGGTGGGTGTGGGGCAGAGGAGGGTGGGGCGTGGTGGTCTACAGGCAGGTTGGTACCAGCTTCCGTCCCTGAACCCCACGCCCTGGATATGTGAACAGCAGCAAGGGATGTCCTTGCGGCTCCGGAAGCTGGGAACCCCGGGTAAAGGCATAAGCAGGGCCGGTTCCCTATGTGTTAAGTCCCAGGGACTTTCCTCATCGGGCCCCCCCGGATGAGCATCCATCCCCGGGACCTGGTTGCACATGTGCTTGTGCTTGGCCCTCTTGCGGTCAGCCCTCAGCCTGAGAGCCATGCTCACACAAGCTGCCCCGGAGTGTGAGGGGACAGTTCAGAACAGCTCACCAAGCTGTGTGGCCATCCCGGTGCCGTGTTCTGTAAATTTTCCATCACCCCAAAAATGTCCCTCACGCACCTTAGCCATCATTACTCCCAACCCCTACCCCCCAGCCCCTAACAGCCAAGAACCCACTGTCTGTGTCTGTGGTTTGGCCTGTTCTGGACGTTTCCCATCAGCGGAATCACACCCTGTGTGTCCTTCTGTGTCTGCTCCTCCCACTGAGTGTCGTGTTCTCGTCCACGTGGTGGTGAGTGACAGGGCTTCTCTCCTTTTCATGGCTGAGGGATGCTTCCATTTGTGGAGGGACCTCTTATGTATTTCTGAGCAGAATGTTTTGACTTTGAAGTTGTTAAATGTTTCCTCACACATTTTGCAAATTCTTCTCTAACTCAAGGCATAAAGAGTTTCTTCTGAATTTTTTTTCCTGTAAGTTTGGTAGTTGAGCTCTTCATTTTGGTGCTACTGTCTATGGTGTGAGCCCTCGCCCCCACCACCTTTAGCCCCCTCCACGCCCCTCCCCTGGGCAGCTTCCTCTCGATCCACTCAGGGATGACTTGCTGTCCCTGGACCGCTCCTCTGCCGGTGACCCTCATGGCTCCCTCGCAGCCACTGTGTCTTTCTCAGTATAGCTGATTCTCAGTGTTCAAGGCAGTTCTGTGCTATAAAGTCACTGTGAATGTGGAGGGCGCGGTTACTGAGCCACCGCCCCTGCAGACAGTGCAGAGCCAGGCTCCCGTGAGTCTTTGTCACCCGGTTTTCAGGACTGATCCTCACTCGGCTTCATGTGCTCTGTGTTTCTATTTATCGACACCTGGTCTGATACCAGCTGTTGGTTCAGTCATGCTGAGCCCCTGGCTGGCAAGGCTGTGACCCTCACCTGGGCAAAGCTCATCTGACACATGCACTATCTCCGTGAGCACCTCACTGCCTTCTTGCACCCCAGTCAGTGGATAGCACTTCAGCCCTACACTGGGGAGTCCATCTAGAACAGAGAAATCACCCCCAAAAACATGAGAATGCACACATGGGCAGTCAATAGACTGTGAGAAGGACGCTTGTTTGCAGTTGGTATTGGAACCCAAAGGCAAGGGTCCAGTTGCCAGTGACATCTGATTGCCTCCCTGGGTCCCAGGAAGAACATGCCAGGTCACTCAGCCCACCTGGCCCTGTCTCTGCCAGGCCTGGGTTCCAGCCACACTGCCATCAGGTACTGTGTCTTCAGGAAGAACATCAAGATGCAGGAAAGAGGAGAAAGGAGCCCCTGCCGTTGCTGGCCACCTAGATCCACTGCATCTAGGACTCTGTGGGTGGGGAGGGGTGCTGTGACCTGCTGGACGGCAGGCTCTCTGCCTCCCTGTGTCCCGGGTTGGTCAGGGTCTGGGGCCTCCTACAGTTCCCCCCTCCCCCGCCCCCACAGGCCGAGTTTGCCATGTTCAGCGGGACGCATGTGGAGCGGGACTTTGTGGAGGCCCCGTCGCAGATGCTGGAGAATTGGGTGTGGGAGGCGGAGCCGCTGCTCCGGATGTCCCAGCACTACCGCACGGGCAGCTCCATCCCCCAGGAGCTGCTGGACAAGCTCATCAAGTCCCGCCAGGCCAATACAGGTGCGACTTGGGAAGGAAGGAGCTGCCCAGACGCCAAACACCCAGCGCCCCACCTCCTTCCTCCCCTCCCCCCGGGGGAAGTGGCCCGGACACACACCCAGCCCCATCTCCCCACCCTCACCTCTCCCCAGGTCTCTTCAACCTGCGCCAGATCGTCCTGGCCAAGGTGGACCAGGCCTTGCACACGCAGACAGCCGCAGACCCGGCCAAGGAGTACGCCCGCCTGTGCCAGGAGATCCTCGGGGTCCCCGCCACGCCAGGTAGCCGTGCTCCAGCTGGGTGCCTTAGGGGTCGGGGTGGTGGCCACTGCCCAGGTGGTGAAAGTCACCTAGTGACGTATGACGTGGGGACTGTTTGACAGGCTTCAGCCAAGGCCCAGGAGGAGCCACTGACCTCTGGGCTCATCTACCACAGTCCTTGGGCCTGTCCCTCCAGCTGTGGTGCGTGGGGGCCACAGTAGGCTGGCGGCTCTGCACATGCTTTGTGAGAAGCCCAGGGGGTCAGGAGAGGGTTTGTACCCGGATGTGTGAGTAGTGGAGGTTTGAACATGCGTGTGTTGGTGTGTGTGCACACGCCGTTCACCCCCCCCCCGCGGGCCTCTGAGACGCCCTTCAGGGAGTGCGGTAACCAGCGCGTTGCCCGCTGTCCACAGCGAACCCCGACTCGTCAGAGTCTGAGCAGCTGACCTCGTACGGTGCTCCGGCTGAGCCCTTGTGAGCTTGAGCAGAAAGTGGGCAAAGACTTACTTTCCTCTGTCAGTTGCCCACGAGACCCCCATTTTCTAGAAGTGTTAGACCAGTTCCCCTCCTGTGGCATGGGCCTCAGACGGGGCTGCTTCGAGGCCCTTCTCTCTGGAAAAATCCTGAGGGGGCCCAGGGGCCATGACCAGAGCTCTCCTTGTCCATCCTAGGGACCAACATGCCTGCGACCTTCGGCCACCTGGCGGGTGGCTATGACGCCCAGTACTATGGCTACCTATGGAGTGAGGTGTACTCTGCTGACATGTTCCACACGCGCTTCAAGCAGGAGGGCGTCCTGAGTGGCAAGGTGAGAAACCGGCCTGGGCCCCATTGCCCTGAGGGCTCCTGCCCCCTACACCCCCAGATGCTGGGTATCCTTCCTCCCTGGTGATGCCGAGGGCCCCTTGGAGCCAGGGAGGGGTGCGCAACCCTCCTCCAGCCCCGCGCCCTCTTGGCAGGTCGGCATGGACTACAGAAGCTGCATCCTGAGGCCGGGCGGCTCCGAGGACGCCAGTGTCATGTTGAAGCTCTTCCTGGGTCGTGACCCCAAGCAGGACGCCTTCCTCCTGAGCAAAGGGCTGCAGGTGGAGGGCTGTGAGCCGCCAGCCTGCTGATGGCATAGGGCTCTGGCCCCCCACCCTGGCGGGCCCGGCCACATGCTACCTGTCCAGGTGCCTTAGTGCCCAGACGGGGCAGGTGGGGGGCTCCAGCCCAGGGACCGGGCAGGGTAGGGGCTGCGTGTCCATCCCCCTCCCCCCTGCCCAGTCCCTGTGTCCCCATCGGCCCACATGGGCTGAAAGGTCTCCATCTGGAGGTGTCTGGAAAGTCTCCTGTCTGGTCAAGACGCCTCTTTGTTGCACTAATGCAGCCCTTTCCTGGGAGTTTTCCCTAGTTAAAAAATAGTTCTTTGAAAAGCAGCCATTAAAAAAAAAAAAGATTCAGTCCTGATCTCTGCCTGCCTCCCTTCCACTGCAGAAACAGTGCTGTGGCCAACTGGTTGTTTTTCATTTGTTTGGAGTTTTTTGGCCTCGCCTTATGTCATGCGGGATCCTAGTTGCTCAACTGGGGATCAAACACATGCCCCCTGTGTTTGAAGCACAGAGTATTAACCTCTGAACTGCCAGGGAAATCCCCGATCCAGTATAGACAAGCAACACAGGGAGTGGGTCTGGCCTGGGCTGGGCAGGGGGGCTCTGGGTTCAAGCCTCAGGGTTAGGCTGTTGGGTGAGTGGGGCCTCCTGGGAGACCCACCTCAGCCGGGCTGAGCACAGGTGGCCACTGGCCAGTGCACCGGTCTCATCCACACATCCTGAACTGCCCGTGGGTGTCCCCACTGTTGGGGACCCCTCCATGCCAGAGGGAGTCAGGGGTCCCAGGTTAAAGCAGGCCATGTGGGTCATCTCGCCAGCCACAGGGTTCAGCCCAGACATCGAGAGGTAGTCCAGTTGAGGCTGGTGCTGTCAGGCCCATGATTTTTGTTGAAGCGGTTTGGGGAAAGAAATTCTGTTTTCCCCCCAGACTTGGAACTTGGAGAGTATGAGCGGTCTGGCAGAGCTGTCCTTAGACAGAGGCCACTCGGCACAAAGGAGCCCATGCCGTGAGGGCGGGCCTCCCCAAGACCCCATTGCCACCCCACACTGGGCACTTTGAGCCACTGGATCACCTCTCCTGTCACCTGCAAGCCAGAGTGCGTCCTTGACCACATCTCAGAGACCCCACCTGAGATGTGGCACAGCCGAGGCTGGGCTTGGCAGAATGCCCCACCTTGTAGGAGCCTCCAGGGACCTACCTAGGTGCCTGCCTGCCTGACTTAGGGCTATGGCAGAGATATGGGGAGAAGAGGTGGTTCTGGTCGAGGGGGACGCAGGGCAGGACCTGCCCAAGACTACCCGGGCTCCTGGCCTCTGTTGAGTCTCAGAACAAACACCATGTTTGGAAGGGTGTGTATGTTAAAAGTATGTCACATGTCTGCTAATTCAGTATAATGGTAGCAGGAAACAGGGTTAGCTCAAGGCTGGGGACGGGCAGGGGGTAAGGGAATGAGTATCCTTGGCTGCCACCTTCCTGGGATTCAAGTTTGAGTGTGCTCAGACACTCAGTCACATGTGACTCTTTGTGACCCCATGGATTGTAGCCCACCAGGCTCCTCTATCTGTGGAAATTCTCCAGGCAAGAATACTGGAGTGGGTTGCCATGCCTTCCTCCAGGCTCCTCAGCCGTCAGTTGTGGCTGCAGGGGCTGTCTGGCCCCAGCAGGAAAGTGAAGAGGGAAGGGTTTGGAGATACCCCAGGGCCGTTCCACCTGCTTCCCTTTGCACCTGTCTCCACGCCCCCTCCCTCCCTCCCTCCCTTCATGCCCCTACTCCAGTGTCTCTCCATGTTCTGTTAAGGGAGATGAAGAATTTCCTTCTTAAAAGGGTAGTTTGAGTTGGTTATTCTGTTATTCATAGCTGGAAAGTACAACCAAGCACTTTTGAATATTTTATTGATCACCTAAAGGAATTGACCCAGGGTGATGCATCCAAAGAGGATCAGAAGTCAGGTTTGATAAAAACTGTTCCCAACCCTGTATACCTGCTGAGTGTAAGGTAAAGAATGAGAAGACAATTGACATGGTCATTACCAAAACAATACATTTCTTAGGCAGAGGGCATTGGATCTCCTTCAGTGAATCTCTGCACATAACTTTGATTTAGAAATTCAATGTATTTGATTATATATAATTGTATAATTCTTTTTGGCCGGACCATGTGGCATGCGGGATCTTAGTTCCCTGGCCAGGGATCAACCTGTGCACCCTGCATTGGAAGCAGAGTCTTAACCACTGAACCACCAGGGAAGTCCTCCCTAACAGTTTTCTGATGGACTCAATATCCATTTAGAACATAGATAAATTTTGTTGTTGTTATTTAGTCCGTAAGTCATGTCTAACTCTTTGGCGAACCCACAAACTGTAGCCCACCAGGGTCCTCTGTCCATTGGATTTCCCAGGTAAGAATACTGGAGTGGGTTGCCATTTCCTCCTCCAGGGGATCTTCCCAACCCAGGGGTCAAACTCAAGTCTTCTGCTTGGCAGGCAGATTCTTTACCACTGAGCCACCAGGAAAGCCCAGATGTATTTTACTACAGGGTAGAATAATTCTTGGGCTTCCCTGGTGGCACTAGTGGTAAAGAACCCACCTGCCTATGCAGGAGAGAGATAAAAGATGAGTTCAATCCCTGAGTCGGGAAGATCCTCTGAAGGAGGGAATGGCAACCTATTCCAGCATTCTTGCCTGGTGAATCCCTTGGACAGAGGAGCCTGTGGGCTACAGTCCATGGGGTCACAAAGAGTTGGACACGACAAGCGATTTAGAACAAGTGCCCACAAAAGTTTTTAATTGGCACCCTGTCTCATTCTGTATCATGTTTCAGCACTTGGACAGCTCCCAGTTCATTGCTGCACTTCCTGTGGCCTGTTCCTGATTAGAGTTTTGGCTTCTTAAGTCAAACTGATTGCATTCATGTTCCATGACATTTCAGAAATAGGGAATTCCTGATTAGGGATTAGGTAGGATTACCTAGGCAGTGGTGAGAACATTCCAAACAAAAAGGAGACCCTAATAATTATAATGATGGGTTGGCAGGAAGTGTTTTTACTGAGAGAATACAAGAATAATCAGTATAAGATTAAAATATGACACTGCAAGCCCAAGACTTTTTATTGGATTGTTGGGGAAGGTTTGGGGTGGTTGGAGACAATGTCTATGCAGGTGCCTATCTGTTTGATTGGAAATATTCCTACCTGAACAATTGACGTAGTTGAAACAGCAGATGAGTTTCCCTAACGGGTCTTCATGAACCCAGAACCTCAGCTCTAGCTGCACACAGAGTGGGTAATCAGAAAAAGTGTTGTCAATAAACATGCTTTATTAGCAGCAGATGAAGTATCTATGGATCACAGGGATAATGATAGTGGTTCTTAATCTTTGTATCTAGAATGATACATATTTTAAAATATTTATTTGAAAAAAAAAAATTTGGCTGCATGGGGTCTTACTGCAGCATGCAGGGTCTTTTGTTGCAGCATACGGGCTTAGTTGCCCCGTGGCATGTGAGCTTTTAGTTCTTCAACCAGGAATTGAACCTTGATTCCCTGCGTTGGAAGACGAACTCTCACCCACTGGCATTCCAAAGAAGTCCCTATTATTTTGAATTAAGCAAGGCTTCCCTGTGGGGAAGCATCTGCCTGGCAAAGAATCTGCCTGCAATGTAGGAGTCCTGGGTTCGATCCCTGGGTTGGGAAGATTCCCTGGAGAAGGGAAAGGCTACTCACTCCAGTGTTGTGGCCTGGAGAATTCAGGCCCTACACAGTGACCCTATACAGTCCATGGGGTCACAAAGAGTCAGACACGACTGAGCAACTTTCACTTCACATTGGTCAGTAGCATTCCAGCTGCAGGAAGAATAGGACCTTCAGTCCTGAAGGGGGAATCCAGGCAGCACACCTTCCATGTCATGGGCTAAGCCTGGAAAAGTCAGTCTGAAAAAGATGGGCTGAAAAATCATCCAGCACATTGAGATCATTCAGGATGCTATAACAAATGACCATGGACTTGGTGGTTTCACTAACAATGTGCTTTTCACCATTCTGGAGGTTGCAAGTTTTGTTTTAAGAATATATTACCAACTTATATTAACCGTGGTAGTTTTATTATTTAATAGAATACTAGTGACATAAATCTAGGGAATTCCGTGGTAGCACAGTCGGTAAAAAATCTGTCAGCAGTGCAGGAAACCTGGGTTTGATCCTCGGGTCAGGAAGATCCCCTGGAGAAGGAAATGGCAACTCCAGCATTCTTGCCTGGAAAACTCCATGGACGAAAGAGCCTGGCAGGCTACAGTTCATGGGGTCACAAGAGTCAGACAAAACTTAGTGACTAAATCACCACCACCACAACATAAATCAATATATTAATATTACTAATAAACTATCATTAAAACAATAATTTTACTATATAATGTCCTATACATTTACTAATGTGTTAATGATAATATCTAATAATAAGTTATTATTGTTTTATTGGCAAATCTATGTCTCAGGCATAGTGCTGAATATACTGAATTTTCACCCTTATTTTTTTTTTAGGCCGTGCCACGCGGCATATGGGCTCCAGTCCCCCGATCAGGAATCGACACTGTGCCCCCTGCAGTGCCAGCGGGGAGCCCACTAGACCGCCACTCGATTTTCTCCCTTAATGAAGAAATTCGCGCGTGCTCCAGGAGCGCGCGTGTGCGACTGGGATATGAGGACGTCCTCTGAGGTAGGAGGTATCTCAATCCTGCGGAGACACCGCCCGCCCAGAGAGGGCGCTGTGACTCAACTCAGCCGCCTCCAGGGGACAGAGACGCAGAATCGCGCCCGGAGCCTTCTGGGACTTGTAGTTCTTGGCCTCGTGGTGCGCAAGCGCACTGCTGAGTCCGTTGTGGGCGCGCGTCCCCGGGAGACAACGGCGGTGTGAGTTAACTGGGGTCGCCGATGGGGGGCGCGGGTAGGCCGGGTGCTGACGGGTGTACGGGTCACGCAGCACTGAGCTCCTCCTCCGCGGCGGGACTCAGGTAGACTAGGCTTGCGCTGTGGGTTACCTGCGCCCACACCTGGGGCCGCAGCACCCGGGCATCTTTCATCCGGGCCGCGCAAACAGGATGCGGCCCCGGAGCCTGGCTTCCGCGCCTGTGCGGGTAGTTAGGCTATCTGGGGTCGGGACGGGGTCTGGGGAGGGGTCCCGAGTGGGAGGGGTGGCCTGGACTGTTACCCTTGGGTTTCCTCCACCTGTCACACTGCAGGCGCGAAGGAGAGTTAGAGAAGTCGGGCAGCTTGAACCTACCTCGTGAAACAGTCCAGCACCTGCCCTGTGAAAATACCCCTGCACGACAGATCTGTGGGGCAAACTCGGCTGTGAGGTAAATGGAGCTCTCAAAGGCCTAATGTTACAGGGATATGGAGTAAACCGAACGCCCAGACTCCTGCGTGTAGACTCATTGGGCGCTTGGGCAAACCCAGAGGGGAGGTCTCACCTTGGATGGTTCTGACCCCTTGGAGGGGTGATACTGGGCAGTGTCTGAGGCCATCTGTGGTTGTCAGGACCTAGGGGCTTCTGGCATGGAGGGAATGGAACCAGGGATGCTGCTCCACACCCCACAACGCCCAGGACACCCCTCAGAGAACAATCCAGCCCCAGTGTAGGTGTCAAGGAGGAGAGACCCTGGCTTAGCCTTAACATTGTGATTCCAATGAGAAGCTATCAAGGGTCTACTCCACTGATACCCAGACACCCCTGCTCAGTAATGAGGTCACAGCCGAGCTTTCTTCCAATGCCTCCTGTTTCCTGGGGTGGATTGCCATTTTTCCCTGCCAGGAAGCCCTCATCAGTGCTTTCTTAGGGAGAAAGGACAAAGTTTCAGTGATTTGAACCCTGAAAGGGAAGACCCTGAGGCAGGTGCCAGAGGCCTAGGTGAATGAGGGCCAAATGGGGTCACTGACATCAACCACAAGGGAGGGGGAAATCCCTTGAACCTCCCGAGGGTGGGAGCAGATTGATTGAAAGAGCTCAAAAAGGGATAGGGGGTCCTGAACTCATTACCATCAGATGCAATTTAAAGTCCTGAGAGCAGATAGATCAAGATGTCACAAGGCTCTGGTCCCCCTGAAGCCTCCAGGGGAGGGTCCTTCCTGCCTCTTCCAGCCTCCTGTGGTGGCCGTCAGTCCTTGGTGTCTCTTGGCTTGTGGCCACATCACTCCAGTCTCTGCCTCTTTTGTCCCATGGCCTTCTCCCTATGTCTCTTTTTTAAAAATATTTTTATTTTTCTGGCTACACTAGGTCTTAATTGAAGCATGCAAGATCTTTAATTTCACATGTGGGATCTAGTTCCCTGACCTGGGATCAAACCCAGGCCCCCTGCATTGGAAGTGTGGAGTCTTAGACACTGGGTCACCAGGGAAGTCCACATGTCTATTTTTTTCCCCATTAAAATTTTTATTTATTTATTTTTGTCTGCACTGGGTCTTCGTTGCTATGCATGGGCTTTCTCTAGTTGTGCTGAGTGGTGGCTACTCTTTGTTGTGGTATGCAGGATTCTCATTGTGGTGGCTTCTCTTGTTGTGAAGCATGGGCTCTAGGGTGAGCGGGCTTCAGCAGTTGTGGCACACAGGCTCAGTTGCTCTGAGGCATGTGGGATCCTCCTGGACCAGGGATGGAACCTATGTTCCTTGCATTGGCAGGCAGACTTCCAACCACTGGACCACCAGGAAGTTTCAGCATTTAAACTCTCAGTTGTGGCATGTGGGATCTAGTTCCCTGACCAGGGATCGAACCTGCATTGGGAGCACAGAGTCTTAATCACCGAACCACTAGGGAAGTCTGTGTGTCTTTTTTAAAGACACCAGTCATATTGTATTAGGACCCTCTCTATCACAATATGACCTCAGTTCAGTTCAGTTCAGTCCCTCAGTCCAACTCTTTGTGACCCCATGGGCTGCAGCATGCCAGGCCTCCCAGTCCACCACCAGCTCCCAGAGCTTACTCAAACTCAT